ATAACGTCACGATGCTCCCGCGCGACAAAAACACAGATCTAGCGCTTTATATCACCTGGCGATCACTACATCGCTACGTGACGCCGGTATCTGTATATAGATTGCTCATTATACCATAGAGTCCATGGACCATGAACCGAAGTATCACGTATGGACGGCCCGTTTCTACGCGAAACAGCTAGCTGAGATTAACGATAAGGAGGGATCACAGGCAGACGCTTCGGCCGAGTCCGATTGCACGCTTCGGACGAGTTCGTAATCTTACGTAAATAAATCAGTGATTCTCAACCGGCTGAATCGCGAAGATGTTCCTATTAAAACCATTCACGAAGGGATAATTCGCGTTAAAAACTCTGCATAGAGAAAGAATATCTCTCTTTTCCGCTCCTTCTATATATTTTGTAATTGGTATTATATGTACTCTTACAAGAATAAAAGAAATAGGTAAATCATATAGATGGGTAATATATCAAATCTATTTTTTTTTTTTTTTGTAGTGTATAATACAATTTTGAGTACATAGCGTCTGTCATTACCACATCTCATTTTATACCTTATTTTTTCGTTATTTTATATAATTATTTTTATTTCGCTACATGTAAAATTTTTTTTTCTCTTGATTTATTTACCTATGGAACGGTTTCTTATTAGATGGTACTGGTAATCTATATTTTGCTAGTTCTACTTCAGCTTCTCCGAATGACTCCACATGATAACAGAAATATTCGGGATTTTTGTACTCCTTATTTTTGGAGGCACCAGGTCCTACAGCTATATAAATATTAGTTTGGAAAGTTGAATTTTTCAATATGAAAGCACACACAAATACTTTGTGACAGATAACAATCTTTGATCTTACGTGTGTTTGGTACTTTGACGACATTTTCACTGAGACCTGGCACATTAGTATTCACAGCATATTGATTAATACTCGAAGCCTCTGCACTGTACGTTCGTAAAGGAACAATTGTTATTGCCTGAAAATAACAATTTGCACTTTGAAGCTTATATAAACAGAGAGGTTACTCTCATTTGAATAAATTAATCAGTTCTAACAAAATGTAATTCATTGTCAGTTGTTTCTAATACACACCTGTAAACGTACTCGTCTCGCTATTACATGCAACATTTTGCGATAATTGTAAATTGCAACAATTTAGCAATTATAATGGACGAAAAATCTTGATGTCCTTTTGACACTGACTCACCTTAGAACATATATAAATGGAAGGGGAATAGCAGGCTGAAAAGTGTCGGAAGGAAGTGAGAAAGAAATCGTAGTTGCCTCTCTCTTGGGAGTAACTACACAACAAGCATCGTATCTGTAGTATACATACTTTTGTGTACACACACATGGCCGCGCATGCGCACTTTTGAGCAGAGTTACTCACAAGAGAGAGGCAACTATGATTTTCTTTCTTACTTCCTTCCGACATGTTTTTCTATCGGGAAACAAAGGCATTCCCCTTCCATTTATATATGTTCTAAGTGACTCACCGTCCTTCCCCGATCATTGATATGAAATATCTAAAGCTTCACAGTTGGCAAACATGCAAGAAGTGAAGGAAGTTAAGAAAATATATTTATTTAATAAGGATAGCGCTCACAATAAAAAACTTCAAATATTACAATTTTACAAAACTCCAACTTTATTTATTATTTTCTTTCTTTATCATTTAAAAAGAAGTAGAAGGTAGAAAGATTAGTATGTATGGCTGCGTTCAAAAATATAGGCCTAGTTTACACCGATATACTTTAATAATCGAACTCTACACATACTAGAATGAGCGATCCCATTGGTTGCGTTCAGCAGAGAAAAGCGCTCAATTACAATCGAATGTGATTGGCTCTTACTTTTAAAACCAACAGATCAACGTCGAGTGTTGACAAGACGATAACTGAGCGCTGTCCATAGACATAGTATATCTAGACCGAGTGTTGAGGAGTGGGGGCCGATGCCCACGTAGAAAAGGACATACTCTGTTTCGTGCCCCTTGCGTTCTCTCTCGCTCGCACAAAGCATAGCGCTCTCTTTCATCATGCTACGTGCGAGCGAGAGAGAACGCAAGGGGCACGAAACAGAGTATGTCCTTTTCTACGTGTATCTTTACCCCCACTCCTTAAATAAAGGCAAACGCTCGGTCTAGATATACTATGTCTTAGGCATCGGCCACCACTCCTTAAATAAAGGCAAACGCTCGGTCTAGATATACTATGTCTATGGCGCTGTCTCTGCCGAACGCAACCAATGGCCGCGTTCAGCAGAGAAAACCACTTAGTAGCAATCGAATGTGATTGGTTCTTACTTTTAGAACCAACGAATTAACGTCGAGTGTTGACAAGACGATAACTGAGAACTTTCTCTGCTGAACGCGGCCATTGTTTGGCTGTCGCCACTATTTCGCCGAGAGAGAGGTGCGTTTGAATTTTGGTATCTCTTTCTAGTATTACTTAGGGCGCGTTCCACTTAACGACCGCAACGCTCGCGAGCATCATCTGTCTTTGTTTAACTTTCGGTGAACAACAAAGATGAAATGATACCGTGAGTGTGCGGTTATTAAGTGAAACGGGCCCCTAAATGGTCCATGGCATATCACGTAACTGATAATGATGTCACGTGACATGTCATGGACCAATTAGGTAATACTAGAAAGAGATACCAAAATCCAAACGCACCTCTCTCTCGGCGAAATAGTGGCGACAGCCAAACAATGGGATCGCTAATTCCAGTATATATAGAGTTCAATGACTTTAAGGGCCACCGCACAAGCTTTTCCGTAATGCATTACGTTACGTTAAGTACTTATTCTAAACCTAAACTCGTACGTAATCTTAAACTTCAGTCAACGCACAGAGAAAATCGTAACGTAACAAAAGCATACTACGTTACAATTTTGTTTGTGCGTTGACTGAAGTTTAAGGTTACGTAGGAATTTAGGTTTACAGTTAGTACTTAACGTAACGTAACGTGTTATGGAAAAGCTTGTACGGTGGCCCTAATACGTACTAAGTACTACACTGGCCAATTATAGCTATTCCTTTAAAGAATGGAATGGCTGTGATTGGCCAGTATAGTATTTAATACGTATTAAAATATATCGGTGTAAACTAGACTATTAACGTTTTCGAATGTAGCAGATTTAATCGCTCTTAAGCCCGTTCTACAATGAGTCGTATGTCGTTAGTCGTAAGCAAATTGACATACGACTCATTGTAGAATCGGCTTGAGAGTGATTAATGACGTCATTGCATCGTCTCTGCCAATAAAAGGCTTGAATTCATAGTAAAATATAGTGATTAATTGATCCGAGTTGGATTAGCCCGTTCATTGGAAAACGCTATATACTTGTTGAGTAGAGTTTGAATGACTAATCAGGGGATTGATTGTGTATCTTAAAACGATGTAAAAATTACAAAAGTGAGTAAATTCACTAGAGTATCTACGATTTCATTTGTCGAAATCTAGTAAATCTGTCCTCTTTTATCATTTTCACTTCGTTTTAAAGATATGGGGGCCAATTACGGTTTTTGAAACGAGGTGAAAATTACAATAGTGAACAGATTTACTAGATTTCGACAAATGAAATTGTAGATATTCTAGTGAATTTCCTTACTTTAGTAATTTTCACTTCGTTTCAAAAACCGTAACAGACCCCCTGGGCTGTGTTCCGATTCTTCAGCCGATGGGTGATAGTCGGGTGAGCGGGTGATGGGCGGAGTTTAAGGGTCGGCAGGAGGGACGGCCAAACTCCGTGTGGCGTTCCTGTAGCTGAATGAAGTCTCCTTTTTGTTACCAACTTCATGAAATATATTTGTAACCATTTTCACACATTTCATTTATTGATTTAACACTTTACATAACAACATATTAAACATACGACAAATTATGTAACATTCATTCGTTCGTTCATTGACCATCAATCTGTACACACTTGAGAGTCCGGTGAGAGCACTTGGGAGGAATCTGAACGCTCTCTGGGTGTCTGGGTGCACCCGGGTGGGGAATCGGAACACAGCCCTGCATAGGACCCGGAAACGCTTGCCGCACGGCAAACGGCGACGCGGTAGCCAATCAATTTTTCGCTCTAATGGAAAAGTTGTAAGTTGATTGGCTACCGCGTCGCCTTTTGCCGCGCGGCAAGCGTTTCCGCGTCCTGTGTGCAGAAAC